GCTGCAGGCACTTTGTACAAGTTATTTCCCTTCAATTTATAAAATCTCTCACTGGATCATGCAAAGCATCCTCTGTATTACTTGACTTCAAAAATTTGTATCTGCTGACATTCCATTGATCATTCAAGTTACTTGTCAGAAGATCAGCGGAAAATCCATGCTAGGGGCACGAGCCAGTGGGCTCAGCTTCCACCTATTCTGCCACCATCATCAGTTTTCAACTTTTGTGTTTGTTTTTGTTTTCTGTGTTTTTGAGAATATTTTACTTTTTCTTGAATATTGAGGTGATATTGGTTAATAAAATTATATAGATTTCAATTGTCTGATTCTATAATACATCAACTCTATGTTGTATTTTGTGTTTAGCACCCAAAGTCAAGTATCCTTCCATCATCATTTATCCTCCATTTTTCCTCTTCTACCTTCCCCCACTCCCCTTTCCCTCTGGTAATCACCATTGTTGTCTGTGTCTATGAGTTTGTTTTTGCTTAATCCCTTCACTTTTTTCACCCAGCCCCCTCAACAACCCTCCCACCCCCCACAGCTGTCATCTGTTTCTGTTCTATGAAACTGTTTCAATTTTGTTTTTGAAATCATATGGTGTTTGTCTTCTCTGACTGGTTTATTTCACTTAGTATAATACTCTCCATGTTCATCCAAGGTGTCATAAAAGGTGAGATTTCCTTCTTTTTTTTGATAATCAAGTAGCATTACATCTGTTGAAAGGTTTTGTCTTTCTCTTCCTTTCAGTAGGAACTTGTATGGTTGCTGGACTTCTTGAACATTTGTTTTATGTATTTTGTTTGTTATGTTGGAGTGTCTCTAGATGTGTAGGTGGGAGTTTGGGTAGATTACTTTGTTTCTTAATTCCAAAGAACCTTGTTTGATTGGTACAAATAGGGAAGTGGAGTTCCCTTAAAAAATAATGTACTCTTTTGTTGTGATTTAGGATGTATAAAATACGTACAGATTATCACACCTCAGTAGTCTCCTTATCCTTAATTATTTTATTATTTACTTTTGTCACCACACTCCAGAGATACCTCCTTTCTTCAAGATGCCTTTTTTATCCCCCAGAAACAAAAATCCTCCCAAGGATCTCACCTTTGGTGACAATGCTCCCTATATACTCTTCAGACTCCTTCCTTTTGGCCTTACCAATGCTAATACTTCGATTTATTGTTTCCTAAATCTCTTTTTAAGATACCTGCATGCAGAGTTGGACCTTTTTTTTTTGGTACTGAACTTTAGCTGGGGTTTGCTACCTCTGAGACCACATCACATACCTTCCTTTCTTTTAAAGTCCTCATCAGACTCTATTTTGGGTGGCTCCAAAAGCCAACTCAGTTTGCCTCAAATTTTTATTTCCAGAAATTACATGTAAAATGATGCTCTATTTATTCTCTGTTTCCTAGTTATGTCATAGAAACTGTTTGTGGTTTTATTTGCCTTTCTTAATGATCTGTATATTTTTTGGAAGATATGTAAGAAGATTGGTATTTAAATGGCTCTTATCCTCCTATGCTAGCCCTTTTAAATATTTTGCTCTCAAGTTTCTAGAAAACTATGAGATTCAACCATATAAAACTGCAAGTTTTGTGACTTAAAAACTACTGAATATCAGCAATTATATAGGGTTCTGTGTAACAGAAAGGTAAGCAAGCTCTTTATTTTTGTGTCTCATGCCTTAGTGAAATGTTACATTCCAAGGGGATATAATGTGTGCAATTTTTTACAAACTTTTGCTGAGGTTTAATTTACTTACAATAAAATGCACACATACTAGTGTACATTTAGTGGATATTGACAGTTGTTTGTACTTATGTAACCACTAACACCATCAAGATATAGAACATTTTTATTATTCTTTATTAAGCTCCATTGTATACCTTTGTAGTCAGACTCACCCCAAACTACAGGAAACCACTAAACCACTTTCTTGTTGTGAGATAGCTAAAGGCCACATTTCTTAGTTGGCCTGTGAGTCTTGTGTGATATGAGGCTTGCTTACTTTTCTAATGTCACCTGGCTTTGGTTTTCTACATATGTGTTCTGGCCTTAGAGCCTTTACAGTTGTGATTCCATCCATCCATCCATCCATCCATCCATCCATCCGTCCATCCGTCTTCTGCCTGGTACCTTAAATTTCACGTACCTTGAACTGATGTCCATCAGTGCAGGATCCATACTGTTTTTCTCTTTTGTGACTTTGCTGACGCTATTTCCTCTGCCAAAAAAGCACTTCTCTCCTTAACTAACATTCTTCCTTGCCTGACTTATTCCTACTCATCTTTCAAAAATCATCTAATATTAATGACTTTAGATTGGGTTAGGTATCTATCAATTACTTTTATGTTTATTAATTGTATTTTGTTTATTGTTATATAAATTGTTTGTCTCCTTTACTAGTTTAAGCTCCTTGAAGGAAGCGATGCCTTCTTCAATTTGTTATCCCACCATCTGTGTACCTGGCACATGATAGGTACTTAATAAATATTTACCTAATGATGAATGCATTCAACTCCCATACAGTTAAGAGTTGAATCTCCATATATAGGGTTAAAGAAGTCTTAAATAACAGATACTTTAAAACATTGAGGTTGAACAAATAGCATTCTATTAGTGTGAGAACTGGCATTGTTCTCTTAGACCATTTCTACTTGCAGAAATCAGTTTAAAATTAATTCCTCAATTCTTACTTTTCTTAACATAGTTGTTTTATCCATTGATCTACTGATGGACAGTTGGGCTACTTCCATATCTTGGTGATTGTAAATGTTGCTACAGTGAACATTGGGGTGCTTATGTTCTTTTGAATTAGTGTTTTGGGTTTCTTCAGATATATTCTCAGAAGTGGAATTACTGGGTCATTTTTCGACGTTATCCTATACTACTTTTCACAGTGGCTGCACCAATCTGCATTCCCACCAACAGTGCAAAAGGATACACCATTCCTCCACATCCTGGCAAGTACTTGTTTGAGGTGATATCACATTGCATTTCTCTGATGATGAGTGACATTGAACATCTTTTCATGTGTCCCTTGGCCATGTATATGTCCTCTTTGGAGAGTTGTCTATTCAGGTTTTTGCCCAATTTTTAATTGGATTGTTTCTTTTCCTGTTATTGGTTTTATAAGTTCTTCATCAATTTGGGTATTAACCCCTTATCAGATGTTCTCCCATTCATTTTTTAAATATTTTTTAATTAGTTAATTTATATTCCCAAATACATTTGTCTCCGCCTTCCCACCACCACTTTCCCCTGCCCCCCTCCCCCTTCTCCTTCCCTTAATCCTTCCCCACTTTGGCTTTGTCCATGAGTCCTTACTATATGTTTCTTGACTTGCCCCTTCCCTTCCTTTTCACCCCGCTCACCCCTCCCTCCTTCCCTCTTGTCTCTGTTGCTTTCTTTTCCTTTCAGTGTTGCTGGTCTTATTTTCCTTGCATCTTTGTTTTGTTGGTTAGGTTCCGCTTATAGGTGAGATCATATGGTATTTGACTTTCTCCCCCTGGCTTATTTCGCTTAGCATAAAGCTCTATAGTTCCATCCATACTGTTGTGTAGTGTAGTAGTTCTTTTTTTCTTTCTGCTGCATAATGTTCCATTGTGTAAACGTACCATCATTTTTTGATCCTATCATCTACTGATGGGCATTTAGGTTGATTCCAACCCTTGGCTATTGTAAATTGTGCTGCTGTGAACATTGGGGTGCATAGGTTGTTTTGTATTGGCGTTTTGGTGTTCTTAGGGTATAGTCCCAGCAGGGGAATCACTGGGTCAAAAGGCAGTTCCATTTTCAGCTTTTTGAGGAAATTCCACACTGCTTTCCATAGTGGCTGCACCAGTCTGCATTCCCACCAACAGTGGACTAGGGTTCCCTTTTCTCCATAGCCTCGCCAGCACCTGTTGTTTGTGGATCTGTTTATGATGGCCATTCTGACCGGTGTGAGGTGGTACCTCATGGTGGTTTTGATCTGCATTTCTCTGATGGCTAGTGATGCTGAGCATGCTTTCAAATGCCTCTGGGCCCTCAGTATCTCCTCCTTGGAAAAGTGTCTGTCCAGGTCCTTTGCCCGGCTACATGCAAAAAATTGAAATTGGATCATCAGCTGACACCATACACAAAAATAAACTCAAGATGGATAAAAGACTTAAATATAAGTCGCAACACCATCAAAGTCCTAGAGGAGAACATTGGCAGGAAACTCTCAGATATCCTACGCAGCAATTTTTTCACTGATATGTCTCCTAAAGCAAGGGACATAAGGGAACGAATAAACAAGTGGGACCTCATCAAAATAAGAAGCTTCTGCACGGCAGAAGAAAACATCAGCAAAATGAAAAGGGAGCCAACCCTATGGGAAAATATATTCGCTAATGATACATCAGATAGAGGTTTGATCTCCAAGATATATAAAGAGCTTACTCGACTCCACTCCAAGAAGACAAACGATCCAATCCAGAAATGGGCAAAGGACCTGGGCAGATGCTTTTCCAAGGAGGAGATACAGAAGGCCCAGAGGCATTTGAAAGATAAATGATTCTGAATGTGCTGAAAACCTGACCTTCATAAACCAAAAGGATCTGGAAAACAACTGTTGGGATATTTTTCTAATATCATCAAAGCTGGCTTAGAATTAACTGTGACTACTATTTTTTTGTATGCTGAGTGTAACTGAATAGCAGAATTATTTAAGCTTTTTGGAGGAACTTATGTTTCAGTTAAACATAAAGTTAAAATTTCAGTTAAAATATATATTTCTGAAAAACATACTTTTTATTCAATATAATCTCTGATCCTGTTTTTTATATCTTAATTTTTTAAATGTCAAGCTGCCACAAGGTTCTTAAACTTATATCTGTGTGACATTTTTAAATTAGAAATCTGTATTTTTTAAAGTTTCCCATTTCCATTAATAAAGATCAATGCTTTTTCATTTTATATTCATTATATTCATACTTTAGTGTTTTAATATATAACTTTATTTTGCTTTTTAGTGTATGCAGAGAGTATTTCCAAAATGGTGGGAAGAGAAAAGCACTTGAGAAAGATAAAAAAAGAGCAGTACTTGGCACTAAGAGCACTCCAGCCTTAAATACATATGAGTCGTCTAAACTCGAAGGTCATTCAACCAACCTTAGCTTTACAAATTCTGAAATTATAACTGAGTAAGTATACTTTTTCTATTTCAGTTACTAACATTATTCTGGGTAGCTATGTTATTAATATTGAATAGTGTGATGGTTTACCAAATAGTGCGCAATATGCTTGCTCCTCTGGTAATATGTTAGCCTGACAAATGCCATATGTAATATTATTAGGTACAAAACCCGCATACAATTTTAAGGAATATCTAGAAAACTAGTGGTTCTATAATATAGATTGTCCTCACCAAAAATGAGGAAGAATAGTTTATTAAATGTTTTAATAATTGTTCTTATGGTACCACAAAGAATTGAAACAGAAAAATCCAATTAAATTAAGTTTAAAGTTACTGTCCACTAAAATCACAAAGTATGGAATGATGAAAGATTACTAATAGAACCAATTGCCATTATTTTACTCTTCATAGGAAAATCTGACTGGTAGTAATCAGTGTATGCATGTAGATACAAATTTTACTTAATAAGTACATGACTATTTTTCTAGTTTTATTGAGGTATAATTGATATGTAACATTATATAAGTTGAAGATATATGACAGTAATTCAGTACATGTATATGTTGTGAAGTGATTACTACAATAAGTTAACATTCCTCATTTCACATAATTATAAATTCTTCCTCTCTGATGAGAACTTTTAAGGTCTACTATTTTAGCAGCTTTCAAATATGTAATATAGTGTTATTAACTATAGTCATCATGTTGTACATTACATCCCCAGAACTTACTTATCTTGTAATGGAAAGTTTGTACCTTTTACCACCTGCTCCCTGCACTCCCCATCCCTGTCTCTGGCATCCACAACTCTGATACTGTTTCTTTGAGTTTGGTATTTTTAGATTACACAGAGAAGTGAGATCACTCAGTATTTGCCTTTCTCTGTCTGACTTACTTCATTTTAGCACAATGCCTTCAAGGTTCTTCCATGTTGTTGAAAATGCAGGATTTCCATCTTTTTAATGGCTAAATAATACTCTGTTTTGTATATATACATATAAGTACATAAGTGTTATAATCCAGTTCACTATTAGTAGTGTTAAAATTATCTAGACACCTTAGTACCAGAATACATTTGTGGTTTCAAGTTATATTTTATTAATCTCTTGAAAATGCTGAACATAAGTAATTCTAGGAACATTGTTTGAAAGCTAACTATGAAAATAAAGTTAAAATAACCTCTTAAAGCAGTTTCAAATCTGTAGATATTAACAAAATAACCTTTGAATTTATTTTGATTTTATACTATGTTGAAAATATTATCTAGTTAGTTATAAGTAACTTCATTGAAAAAAATAACATACCTTTGATTAGTTCAGTAGGAAAAGATAACACATCTTTTACCTTTATTTATTTAAAGGTTACTACAAGGCTTACAAAGCATAATGACTAACTAAACATCCTATAACTCGGGCATTATGAATATTTTTTAAATGTTGACCAGTGTAAGAAATTATATTGCTATCAAAAATAGGTACGTATGGAAAATATCAACCATAAAATTTCTATATGGTTCTTTTTTTAGTGTCTCTTTTCATTATTGAGATTACCTTCTTTATTGAGTCATTACATCTTCCTTTAATTCTTTTAAACACAGTTTCTTTAATTCTTTGAATATATTTATAATAGCTGATTTGAAGTCTGCTAAAACCCACATTTGGTCCCTTTCTAAGTCTGTTTCTATTCATTGCTATTTTTCCTTCAGTGCAGACCACACTTTCCTGTTTTTCTTTGCTTATCATAATTTCTTGTTGAAAACTGTTTAATATATTTTTATTGGTGGTCGGTGTTTTTTGATAATTTGCCTGGACTTAATCTGTGGGATTGATCTCCCTTGTAGTTTATATGTTATTGTTGTCTTTTTCTTTAAATTTTTTTTTAAATTAAAAAACAAATTTGTTTAGTCTCCCAGTCAGCAAAGGCTATGTAGGGAGTTTATGTAGCCCTTCTGTGCCTCTCTCATTTCCGGAATCTTTCTGTTAAATTTCTGTCTAGTTCTTCAATCTACAGTTCAGCCCTACCAAAACTACAACCTAAGGCTAGCATAGCTGCTGTCCTTTCCTATGTGTTTTCAAACAAGTTTGCTGTTTTTACTGACAGTGCTCTATTTGGGTTTTTCACTTTGCTCCAAATCAAGTTAGCCTCTTCCAGCAGTCAAGCTGCTGTTTTTCATAGACTTGTCCTTTAAGAACTTCCATAACTACTAAGCAGGGGCTGGGGGTGATGAGACTTGCTTCAGGCAAGAACACTGCAGATTCCCAAGCTCATTTCAGCTGGTTTTCATAAATGTACACTTCTCAACTTAATTGCCCCAAATGGTTGTTTTTGAGGATTGTATTCAGTTGTATAGATGGCTATTTCTTGAGAAGTTGGATTTGCTAACCTCAGTCTTGCCATAGGCAAGAAATTCCTGTCCATAGTTTAGTTTTAAGGCAGAAAAATTAGTTTGGTTTTAAGCAGTAAAGAAAGGTATCCAAATATAATTGTTACAGGTCACATTTCACTTGGTATTAAACATTAAAATAACTTGGCCTAGGATAGTTAGGTTTGGATTTTCTTCATTCTGAAAACTCTGGACTTTTTAATATAGCTTCTGGCCCTAACCTGTGTATAGACTTTTTCCTCCTACACCACCTACCATTTTTATAACTTGTGTTCTAGTTATATGGAACTATTTAAATTCCCCAGGTGGTACATGCTAGTTCTCAATTTTTGGCAATTGCAAGTGCTATATATCCTTTTCTTAAAAAACTATTGCTATATTATATTAGGCTATATTTGAACCATCTTTTCTTATAGAACTTAACCTGAACTTCTCAAAGGAATGGATACCAGTATTAAGAATTTTTATACCTCTGTTGTACTACTTACATTGTATTAAAGTCACTCTTGTATATTTTTCTGACTACAAATGAAATAAGATGAAAGATATGCTTATAGAGAAGATTATAGATATAAACAATTATTACTCAATTATTATGATTAAGCACATTTCTTTCCAGTCTTTTTAGTAAGGGTTGTTTTGGTGTGTGTTTGTTTTTTACATAGTAGAGATTATGTAAAGAACTTTGTAAACTCCTTCCATGCTATGAAAGCATTATATTTAATAATAAAAATCTGTACCACTATGTGTATCAAAATACAGTGATCCTGAATACAAAATAAAACTCAGTTTTTCCAAAGAGAATCTTCCCCCCCTTTACTACTCTCATTTCTGTTTTAGGTAGGTAGACGTCCTAGTCAAAATTAAGATGTGTGCTCTATTTATTTATAGATATTATTATATGAAAGATACATAGTGCTTACTATCCAAATGTATTTGACTTTGGGTAGCAAGTTTAAATAGCAAGGGTTATCTTTTTCCCAGCCTTATTTCAAAATATCTATTCAAGTCGTTTTGATTTCTGGGTTCAGATAGCAAAGGCTCATATAACATAGCATAAATACATTTTTTTCAGTTACATTTTATGAAAACTGAATAATAAAGCCAAATGTTTGTTTCTACTAGAGTCACTTTTTAAGTCATCCATGTCTCATAATTGAGATGCAATACTTTTTTTTTCTTTTATTTTATTTATTTACTTTTTAAATACATTTGTCTCTGCCTCCCCCCCAGCTCTTTCCCTTGCCCCCTCCCACCTTCCCTCCCTCAGCTCTTCCCCTTTGGTTTTGTCCATGAGTCCTTGCTATATGTTCCTTGACTTTCCCCTTCCCTTCCCTTTCCCTGCCCCCCCCCCTTCTCTCTTGTCTCTGTTGATTTCTTTTCCTTTCAGTGTTGCTGGTCATATTTTCCTTGCATCTTTGCATTGTTGGTTAGGTTCCGCTTATAGGTGAGATCATATGGTATTTGTCTTTCGCCCCCTGGCTTATTTCGCTTAGCATGATGCTCTCCAGTTCCATCCATCCTGTCGCAAAGTTTAGTACTTCTTTTTTTCTTTCTGCTGCGTAGAATTCCATTGTGTATATGTACCATAATTTTATGATCCAATCATCTACTAATGGGCATTTAGGTTGCTTCCAAGACTTTGCTATTGTAAATTGTGCTGCTATGAACATTGGGGTGCATAGGTTCTTTTGTATTGGCGTTTTGGTGTTCTCAGGGTATATTCCCAGCAGGGGAATCGCTGGATCAAAAGGCAGTTCCATTTTCAGCTTTCTGAGGAAATTCCACACTGCTTTCCATAGTGGCTGCACCAGTCTGCATTCCCACCAGCAGTGTACTAGGGTTCCCTTTTCTCCACAGCCTCGCCAGCACCTGTTGTTTGTGGATCTGTTTATGATGGCCATTCTGACCGGTGTGAGATGGTACCTCATGGTGGTTTTGATCTGCATTTCTCTGATGGCTAGTGATGCTGAGCATGCTTTCAAATGCCTCTGGGCCCTCTGTATCTCCTCCTTAGAAAAGCATCTGCCCAGGTCCTTTGCCCGTTTTTTGATTGGATCGTTTGTCTTCTTGGAGTAGAGTCGAGTGAGTTCTTTATATATCTTGGAGATCAAACCTCTATCTGATGTATCATAAGCAAATATATTTTCCCATACGGTTGGTTCCCTTTTCATTTTGCTGATGTTTACTTTCGCCGTGCAGAAGCTTCTTATTTTGATGAGGTCCCACTTGTTTATTCTTTCCTTTATGTCCCTGAGATGCAATACTTTTTGACTATGTATATAATGTGATTGTTGGAAATTTTATCCAAAGCACCAATTACTACCCATTCCTTCTATTAGGATAGCTGTGTCCCCACCCTCCTACATTTTGTACCTATGTACTTGTGATTGATGCAAAATAAGCAGTGCTTTGCTACCTTCTAAAACTTACTTATATTTTTCAAAACAGTTGCCAAATAGGCCATATTCTGGGCCACAGAATACATCCACTGAGTGTCTTAGAATGCGTTCCCTATGGGTTTGGGGTGGTGGGGCAGATTACTACACTAGAAAAGAAGAAAGATGTAAAATCAATAATATAAATTTCTACCTTAGGAACTAGCTAGAAAAACAAGAACAAAC